GGCCGTCAACAAGAGCGCATCTTATACGATTCGCGACAACGACCATTACCAGGGATGTCCCCCCCCGTCTGGTAACGTCACGGTTCGCGGCGGCGCCGTTTGGCATTGCTGGGGGGAGCTACTTCCCAGACGGCGCCGCCGCGAATCGTGACGTTAACGCCCCCCCCCATCCCGCCCCCCCCCTCCCCCCCCTGGTGACGGCCGGCATCGCCAGGGGATTCCAAAAAAAGGGGCTCCAGACAACTCGGGAGGAAAAGCCGGTCCACAGGAGATGGTCCGATCGAGCAGTCGGGGGCCTTAGATGCTCATTCTGGGGACCTTCCTGGAGCCACTCCCTCCACTCGTGCGTCGAAGCTGCGTCGAACCTGATTCGAACCTGAGTCGAACCTGAGTCGACCTGCGTCGAACCTTCGTCGAACCTGAGTCGAACCTGAGTAGAACCTGCGTCGAATCTGAGTCGAGCTTGAGTTGAACTCGAGTCGAACCTGAGTCGAGCAGATCCGCTGGGTGGGCCCCAGGAAGGTCCCCAAAACGAGCATCGAAAGGGCCCGTCTCCACCAACACAGAAACGCCGGCTGCCCAGCCAGGGAAGGGGGGTCCGAAGAGACACGGAGCCTGTAGATGGAGGCCACGGGCCTCCCGCCGCTGCCGGACGGCCTCTCCTGGGGCCCGGGCAGGCCCCCCCCCCGGGAGGCCGGAGCCACTCGGGGCCTCGTGGGCGGCAACTCATGGGAGCCTCCCAAACCATCTTGTCGGCTCCTGCGAATCGACGCTGGCCCACGCCAAGTCGATGCTCATTCTGGGGACCTTCCTGGAGCCACTCCCTCCACTCGTGCGTCGAAGCTGCGTCGGGGGCCCGTCTCGACCAAAACAGAAACGCCGGCTGCCCAGCCAGGGGAAAGGAGCCCTCGGAGAGACACACGGAGCCTGTGGAGGCCACGGGCCTCCCGCCGCTGCCATGGACGGCCTCCTCCAGGGCCCGGGAAGGGCCCCCCCCGGAGACGGCCAGAGCCGCTCGGGGCCGCTCTCACTCGGGGCCCCTCGTCGGTGGCAGCTCCTCGCCATCGCTCGGACGTCCATTCCCTGTGCTTTTTGTCGGTTTCGTGCGTGTTTTTTTCGCCGAGTGACCCAGGATGCTCCTCGATGGTCCTCGCCGAAGAAAAAACGCACACGTCCGAGCGATGCCAAGACTCGTGGGAGCCTCCCAGACCAGCTTGTCGGCTCCTGCGAAGCGACGCTGGCCCACGCCAAGTCGACGCCAATATCGGCGCCAGGTCGGCGCTGGCCGCCGCCGAATCGGCGCCGCCGAACCCCTCCCCGTGTGAGACGATCGGGCGACCAGGGCCGAGCCTCTTCCGACGCGCCCCTCGTCTTTCCCCCCCTCCTCCCGCGCTGCAGGCTCCTCCTTGCTCCAGACGGGCAGCAGCCGCTTGTTGGGGCAGGCGGCTCCCCGACTCCCAAAGGGCCACGCCCGCGGCGGCACCGGCAGCGAGCCCTGCTCCAAACCGCCAGGCGCTGCTGCCAGCCCTCGCCCCCGATGTCACCAGCCTCGGGCAGATCCCCATCCCCAAGGTCGACGAGCCCAGAGGCGATGACAATCTCAGGGGTGCGCCCTCAGAGCCAGAGGGAGTCCTTAAGATCGGCACCGAGATAGGGAGATGCAAATCAGAAGAATGGGGATGTGTCTCTGGCTGGCGTCCACTCTTTCTGTACCCGTGTCGATCGTATCGGTCCGAGGGTTGATGGTGACGGCGGGGGAACCAGGGGCCGAGCGGCGCGGCCTGCCGTTGCAGGCGGGGTGGGCGGGAACGGGGCGTAGGCCATGGGAGGCACATTCCTCGAGACTTCTTGGACTGACTCTCTTTCTCTCTCTCTGCAGAGGCAGCTGCACCAGCGGAACGCACGACAGTGGCGCGTGGATTGGTTGAGCGATTAGCGCAGGCAGGATGAGAACGCACCGTGAAGTGTCGGGTCACTGTGTGGATGAGTCGTCATGAGCACAACTGCAGCGCAGACGCCCCAGCGAAGTGGCAAACATGTTCAACATGGACTTGGCACAAAGCCTTGTTGCCCAACAACGCAGCCACAGAATGCAACACAGACGCTGCCTAAATGGAAAGGGAGAAGAGGCGAGCGGCCTGCTACCCAATTAATGCCGAGAGTTCTTTCCCAAATAAGGAACTCACATTCCGGTTGAGACTCGGTTGGGCATCATGCATTCCTATGATGTCATATTCGCTCATTGCGATTGTTGGTTAGAGCGAGCGGACTTGTCCGCAGCCGCCATGGTTGTTCAGACAAGTAGGCACCAATACGCTGACAAACGAGCTTCAGTGAAGATTCCATCTTACGGATTCCTCCAGCAAAGATTCCTTCAGTAAGGACTTCCAGTCGGACAGATTTTTGAGTAGGAGTTCTAGTAGGAGTTCCTCAGTCGGAATTCCGTTGGTAAGGATTCCTTAGCCAGGTATCGTTAGTAATGAATGTGTTAGCAAGAACTCCTTAGCAACGGTTCCTGATGAAGGATTCCTGTTGTAAGGATGCCTTTTTCGAAAGGATTCCTTGAGTAAGAGTTCCTGCAATAAGAACACAAACAGTCAGGGCTCCTGTAGTAAAGACTTGTTCGTTATATTGGGGTACCTTAGTGAAGACTCCTGTCGATCCCGTCAACAATAACTACCAACAACTCATGTGGAAGGATTTTTCAGCAAGGAATCGCGAAGGTCCGAAACCGAAGCGAGGTCCGTCTCGGGCGACACTCTGACGTCAGGATGGTCGGCAAAACGGCCCAGACCTTATACGTGCCGACACGACAGCGTTCCGGAAAAAGACAGCAGCTCCACACGTCATGACCGTCTCTACTTTTCCAATGATGCCAACGCCCAGAAAAGTGAGACAACTTACCCACCCGGGGTGCACAGTGCCAGAACCCACGTTTCTGACCTGCTGGCAGGTGGCCCCAACATCATAAGGATTTTCAGCGAACGCATGAGCCGCACCAAGGTATAACGAAGCTACCCACCCCGACCATGGGACCAGATACTGCTTCTGATCCGCCTGACCCGCCAGATATTAAAGATCCCGCCACACAAGAGGACTTGTGCGACCACGCTGACAAGATTAAGCGAGCCAGTACAAGTAGCCAGGGTCAACAGCCAACTAGCTTCGATTCTTCGGTGACGACGCTCCTTCCCTCTGCCATATACTTGCTCTCCTCGCGGAGCATCCAGTCACACCGGAGCCAACCACTGATCAACCAAGTGCAGCTCCACGCGACCCCACACACACACACACACACACACACACACACACACACACACACACACACACACACACACACACACGCACACACACGCACGCACACGCACACACACACACACACACACGCAAACACACATGGCACATATGCTTACCTTCAGGGGAGGACATGAGAGGAGAGGCAGAGGGGCAGGGAGCGGAGAAGGGGGCGGAGACTCGGAGCGACGAGCCGGGAGGGGAGGGACGCGGAAGCAGTGGAAGTCGTGGGAATTGCGGAATAAGAGAGGGAGGAGAGAAGGGGGAGGGGGAGATGGAGAGGGAGAGGGCGGAAGGGGAGAGGAGAGCGAAGGGAGAGGGAAAAGGGGGAGAGGGACACGAGAAGGGGGAGAAGAAGGGGGGAAAAGGCTCAAGGACACGAGTTGTTCGGGCGTGCGTCCGCCGACAGCCCGCGGCACGGGGCGATGATCCGGCCAGGCAGCCTGCCTCACACTTCGGGGGCTGCTGTGCACAACTTTTTTTCACGAACAGAAGTTGGCTGTGGCCACACTCGAACGTTCGACATCGGGAAAAGGAAATGAGCAGTTGAGCCCCCGCCTGCCTGGCCTGAGCACGAATAGAGACGTTGATATCCATGAGATTCCTACCCACCGACCCCAGCCTTGCACTGTGAACGAAACGTCGGATACGTGTTCGTAGACGCTGTGTCTTGAACTGCTGCTCCCCATTCAGTAGGACTGCCCCAGTATTGGCAGCTTTCGGTAAAAAGAAGCCTGGATGTCAGAGATCCTGCCCAAACGTGGATGTCAGAGATCCTGCCCACAGGGGACATTGTCACCATCTGTACGAAAGGATCCCTGGGAAACCCAGCGACAGGATGCTGCAGAGTCCGAGCCAATTCTGCATGAAACCCCCATTTCAGCCAAGAGTCTGCCCCAGAGCCCTGACGACGAGAACCGCGGGAGATCGGAGGCCCCGACGACATGCTGGGCCTGGCTCCTCGATGAACTCAGTGGAAGCCTGCTGATGGATTCGTCGCGGGCTGCTAGAAACAGAGATGGGTGTGAACAAAATTGCTCTAGGCACTGCAGCCTGGCCCGTGGCCACGACCTGTTGACATGGAGCGGGTGCTAGACCACCAAAGCAGCGGTGTGGAGAGGGGGGTGTCTTTAAACTTGGGGCGAACCTCTGGCGTAGGGCCCCGGACGCTGACAGAGATGTCTAGCCACTCAACGTTGGCGCGGTCGAAACGGTCAACCGCTATCTTGAAGTATCCAGCTCGGGGCGTTGATTCAAAGACACACTGGCCGAAACACCCGCGTGATTGCCGAGTATTTTGATGTCGTTTTTGACCTGGAAATGTATGGCCATACCGTACAAGTTTACTTGCCTAGAAAAGGCCACGTCTGAGAAGCGACTTCATAGGTTCAGCAAACCATCAGATGATATCTTGGACCACGTATACGGCCGATCCTGACATGAAAAGATCCACGAACGTCGAATGTGCAGATCAAGATTGTCGGGTCCACACGCAACTTGCGAAGCTGCTCAACTGCCGCCCGCGTGCATTTCACGACGTGGGCTAGCCCGGAAAGTCTACGACTATATGCTTTGCTGCCCCAGCGTGCCTTGCCACGGAACGCATACTTGCCGACAACGCGAATGCTGCAGAGCGTGATAGCATTCAAAACTCTGTGGGTTGTGCATGTCTGGATCATAGATGCAATGATACGTTGGCCAGGAGCTCACAAGGAACGAGTGATGTCTTCAGCGATGGGTGTCCCCTCATAGTTTTCCATGTCACGCGAAATCTTGTTATCCGCTGTTGCCAGCGTCTGAGAATACATCCTGCGTTCCAGAATGTGTGCACTCTGGCTTGAGGAAAATGTTTGATAAAACACCTTGCCATCATCCAAAGAAGTTAGCGTGTAGTCCACCTCTTGATCATGTTGTGCCCCGTGCAACCAGAAAAACAAATCGGCCAGATCGCCCAGTGAATCAAAAAGGTGACGTTGGAAGATCGGCGTGGCGAACGTTTGGAATGAACCAGCTGCCGAGAGCACGCTGAGAGCACATGTTCTCGAGAAGATGTTCGCCAATAGTTGATGCAACGGTCGAATCGATGAGGGCATAGTGGTGTTTTCCAACCTTTGATCCTGTACCAGGCTCTGCGCTCACTGTTGCCCCAAACCGCCCTGCATTTGAACGCATTGGTAAAGCTCGCAAGCTCTTGGATGGCAGGACTTGTGTTCCGGAGAACTCGTCCGTAGGAGGCATGCTCAGCACGGGAATGTGCAGGACACCGCTTCACAAACCATGGGATGCCCGATTCTACAACTGACAGGTCGGAGTGTCTGTATAGATGCACGCAATTTGACGAAGACGGGTAAGGAAGTAAAACAAGGCCCATCGACGACACCTGCGCCCTCCGTATGTTTTTTTCCAGCCATCGTGCAGGGGCCGGCCGCCGCGCGTCGCCACGGTGTGTTGGCGACTGCGCGTGGGCAGTGCAGACGTGCCAGCAGCTCATGTGCCGCCTGTCTTTCCGCCCTTGCCCTTCTGGTCGCGATCTCTGCCTCTGCCTCTCGCCGAAGCCTTGCCTTTCCCCTTTTTCATTGCCCCTTGTGGCTGCCGCTCTTGCCGCCCACGATGACAGTGTGCGGGTTATGTAGGATGCGTGGTAGCCTTGGTCGCCGGGCGTGACTTGGACCCCAGGGCACCCTGGCGGCGCCGTTGTTTGCCGCGGCAGCAGTGTCCCTATCTTCCGAGAACTTGGGCGCCGCTGGCTCGTCAGAAACGTCCATGTTCTGAGCCGCTTCGATAAACGAGAGCTCCTCCAGCTTCGCCTGGAGCTTCATATCCAAAATCTGGCTGAACAGTTCTTCCGGCTTAGCTTTGGCAGCCGTCTTCTGGGCCATATTGTGTGTTCTGTTGATCCTTCTCGAGCTGTTTCTGGCGTGCTCTTTCTCCCGTCGCCTCCTGGTCCACGATTCTGGCCCAGTGTGCTTCGCGCTTATCCTCGAACACCTTTGGTTTCACTTACACTTGAGTTGCACCGCGTCGAGCCCTAATCCAGCAGCCTTCTCTTCGGTGCATGGTGCTAGGATCTGGAGGCACTGTTCCTCGAACTTGGCCTTGGACGCCTGCTCCTTCAGAGAGTTGAGCTGCTCGTCCAAAGCTTCGGCCATCGCAGCTTTCATGAAGTTGGTGCACTCGTGGTGCACAGTCCTCATGGCGTCTCGCTTGCTGATGCCCTGGTTCAGGGTGCAAGTACCTTGCTGCCCAGCGTGAGGGAGGGGCTCATCGAGCATGACCTGCATAGCCGACGCCTCGACAGCTCGCTTCCCTTACGGGTGTTTGCAATTAGTGCTGTCGCGCAGTACTTCCAAGTCCTGTGGGCCTCCGCCTGGGCTCCTCTCACTTTGGCCATCTTGATCGCAACTTGTTCAAACTGGTCTGCTCCCTTCTCTACTGTTTTCATGATCGTTGTCTTGGATCTTCCGCTGAAGATCAGGAGGGAGAACGAGTTGCACTGGCCAGGGTGCTGGGGGTCCAGGAACCACTTGGACAGCCACCGGCCCCTGGGACGACCCTGGTGACATGGCAAGGGCTGGAGGTGTTGGCGGTTAGCCCATCGACTGCATCACTTTGAATATGTCCTCACGCTGTTGCTGCGTCAAGGCTGCGTGCTGCGTCTGCATCTCCTGGACCATCCAAGTGAAGGCGAGCTGCTGCCATTATGCTGCCGTTGTGCTGCCTCGGTCTGCTGGAGGAGTAAGCCGAGCATGGAGCGGTCGTAGTCGCCTTCCTCCTTCTCTCGATCTTTGTGGGGAGCTGCCGCAGTGCGCCGCGGCGTCGTAGAACGCTGGTCAGCGGGAGCCCCTTGCTGTTCCACACCTATGCCATGTTGATCCGCTGCGCGAATGGCTTCTGCGAAGGACGGCTGCGCAGGAGGCCCAACTTGCAACGGTTGCGACATCCACGAGAAATCGAAGAGGTTGGATCCTCACAGCGTGGGAGATCCGCACAATGTGTTTCACGAATAGAGAGTCGCTGTGGCTACACTTCTTGCGAAAGTGAGGTGGGCGGCGGAGCCCCCTCCCGCCTAGTCATAGCAGAAGTAGCTACAATGACAAAAATGAAGATGATGACAATGACGATGGTGACAACAAGTATGGTGACAATGATGCAGGCCTCGGAAAAATTATGCGAACGGAGTTCCCCACATAATGATATTATTGGGATAGCGGAATCAAGGATCATCTTGTCATGAAATTGCCGACCTGCCCTCGCCCTCTCCATCCTTTTCTATCACATGGTTTGCGAATAGCGTCCTTGCTCAGGCGGGGCCTCCCTGGAGGGGTGGTAGGGGCACGAAACCTGATAAATAACACTGTTCGCGAATACCCTCCTCGCTCAGGCGGGGCCTGCCTGGAGGCGCTCAGGCGGGGCCTCCCTGGAGGAAGGAGAAGAAAGCGTTGAAGAAAGAAGTGGTGATGAAGGCAATGGTTAACGATGAGGACGGTGTCGATGTCTTTCGGCACCGGTGTTTTCACGCGCATTCACAGCTGGGAACTTTGCAGAATATCGAGATCAATCGATTGCAGGAGCGGGCCGCCCCTCTGAGCAGTATCTCACCCCTCGTGGTCGTCACTCTGGAGCAGTATCTCACCCCTCAGGCGGGGCCTCCCTGGAGGGGTGGGAGGGGCACGAAACCTGATAAATAACACTGTTTTCGAATAGCGTCCTCGCTCAGGCGGGGCCTCCCTGGAGGGGTGGGAGGGGCACGAAACCTGATAAATAACACTGTTTTCGAATAGCGTCCTCGCTCAGGCGGGGCCTCCCTGGAGGGGTGGGAGGGGCACGAAACCTGATAAATAACACTGTTTTCGAATAGCGTCCTCGCTCAGGCGGGGCCTCCCTGGAGGGGTGGGAGGGGCACGAAACCTGATAAATAACACTGTTTTCGAATAGCGTCCTCGCTCAGGCGGGGCCTCCCTGGAGGGGTGGGAGGGGCACGAAACCGATAAATAACACTCGAATAGCGTCCTCGCTCAGGCGGGGCCTCCCTGGAGGGGTGGGAGGGGCACGAAACCTGATAAATAACACTGTTTTCGAATAGCGTCCTCGCTCAGGCGGGGCCTCCCTGGAGGGGTGGGAGGGGCACTGAACCTGATAAATAGCACTGCTTTCGAATAGCGTCCTCGCTCAGGCGGGGCCTCCCTGGAGGGGTGGGAGGGGCACGAAACCTGATAAATAACACTGTTTTCGAATAGCGTCCTTGCTCAGGCGGGGCCTCCCTGGAGGGGTGGGAGGGGCACGAAGCCTGATAAATAACACTGTTTTCGACTAGCGTCCTCGCTCAGGCGGGGCCTCCCTGGAGGGGTGGGAGGGGCACGAAACCTGATACATAACACTGTTTTCGAATAGCGTCCTCACTCAGGCGGGGCCTCCCTGGAGGGGTGGGAGGGGCGCATGGTATTGGTATGGTATTGATATGGTATTGGTATGGTGGGAGGGAGCTCAGACGAAACCTGATAAATAACAGGTGTTGCATGGTATTGGTATGGTATTGGTATGGTATGGTATGGCTTGGTATGGTATTGGTATGGTTTTGTATTGGTATGGTATGGCTTGGTATGGTTTGGTATGGTATTGGTATGGTATGGTATTGGTATGGTAGGGCTTTGTTTAGGAGAAGGACGCGGGAGGAGGAGGAGGAGAAGGAGAGGGTGTTCTGGGAAAACAAGAACCCCACTCAGGATGTGGGGAAATAGTGAACACTCATGCCACATTCATCTGTGAACGCCTCACCCTCCTCCCAATGTTCAAAGTTGGCGGTGGGTCTGATGAGTTGCACCTCGACCGCAATCTCCCCCGCGCGTGCCAACTTTGAGTTTGGGGGGCAGGAGGGGTGTTAATACTAATGATGGCAATGATGATGATGATGATGATGATGATGAGAAAGAGCATGAAGATGATGATGATGATGATGATGATGAGAATGATGATGCCAACAAAGATGATGGTGATGATGATTATGATGATGAGTATGGCCATGTTGATGACAATGATGATGACAACAATGTTGTTGTTGATGGTGATGATGATGATGATGACACTGTTGATGATGGCAAGGCTGCTGGGAATGATGATCACAATGATAACGATGATTCTGACGAAAGTGATGATGGCAATGATGATGGCAATGGTGATGATGACGATGCTGAACATGGTGATGATAATGACGATGGCAATGATGATGATGATGATGATGGTAATGGTGATGACAGTGATGATGATACTGATGATGATCAAGACGACGACAGAGATGATGGCAGTGCTGATGAAACTCCTGATAACAAGGACGATGACAATGATGACGACAACGATAATGGCAGTGATGACGACGATGGTGACAATGATTTTGCCAATACTACTGGTTATGAAATGCTGGCCATGAAAACAACAATGATGTTGACAATGTTGATGCAAATGATGATGATGCTGATGATAATGGTGGTAATGATGATTGCGCTGGTGATGGTAATGTTGATGGCAATGTTGATGATAGGATGATGATGATGCTGATAATGACGACAACAATGATGAGACTGGTAGTACGGTGATGACAACAATGAAAAAGATGACGACAATGATGATAATAGTGATGACTTTGACGGTGACAATTGTGACGGTGACGACGATGATGCTGACAATGACGGTAAACCGTACATTGATGCCAACGGTGGTGTAGACAATGATGATGACAATACCCATGACCATGATAACAATGGCAATGGTGATACCAGTGGTGATGACGATGATGATGATGACGATGGCAGTGGCAATGAAGATGATGCTGATGATAGTGATCTTGATGACGACAATACTGGTGTCAATGATGATGATGATGATGATGATGACAATGGTGATGAAACTGATGATGGCAATGATGATGATGGTGCTGATGACAGCAATGATGGCAATGATGATGGCAACTGTGAGGGCAATGACGATGAAGAGAATGATGATGACAATGATGATGGCAATGATGATCATATGACTAATGATGCGACTGATGATGATATGAAGATTATGATGGTGATGCTGATGATGATGGTGGTGATGATGATGATGAAAACGGCAATGTTGATGACAATGATGATAACAACCTTGATGGTAATAGTGATGCCAATGATGATTATAAATATGAATACGCTGATGATAATGAGGATGACGATGATGGTGGTAATATTGATGATGACGATCACGATGGCAATGATGATGACAATGATGATGGCAATGATGATGGCAATGATGATGACAATGATGATGACAACAATTATGACGCAATAATGATGACCGTGATGATGACCATGGTGATAATGCTACGGATGATGACAACAATGACAATGATGATGACGACAATGATGAAGGCAACGGTAGTGACAATGATGATGAAACTGAGAATGGCAATGATGATGGCAATGGTGATGGCAATGATGATGAAGACAATGATGATGACAATGAGGATAGTCATGATGGTGATGAAGGTGGTGACGATGATGGTAGTAGTGATGACAATTGTGATGACGATGGTGATGACAATGATGATGGCAATGATGATCATGATGATGACAACGACGATGATGATGAGGATGAGGATGACAACGATGATGGCAATAATAACGATGATGATACTGATACTACAAATTATGACAATGATGATGAGGAGAAGGATAGAGGTTAGCTGCAATGATGATGACAACTATGATGGCGATGGTGATGACAATGGCAATGACGACACTTATGATGATAATGATGTTGACAATGATGATGACAATGATGATTGCAATGATGATGGCGCTGATGCTGATGGTGACAAAAGCGATGATGACAATGATAATGGCAATGACGATGGCAGAAAGATGAAAATCATGACGATGACAATGATGATGACAATGATATTTCAGACCCGCGGCACAAGAGGATTTTTGCGACCTCGCGGACGGACTAAGCGAGAGAGTACATGTTGTCAGTGACAACAATCAACTAGCTCCGATTATTCTGTGACGACAATCCTCCCTTCTTCCAGATACTTGCTTCCTTCGCGGAGCATCCATTCACACAGGAGACCACCACCGATCAACCAAGTGTACCTCCACGCACCAACACATACACAGGCACAGACTCACACACACAAAGAGTGTCACACGCACGTACATGGCAGAGGCTTACCTGGGAGGGACGCGGAAGCTATGGAAATCATGGAAGAAGAGAGGAAAGAGAGAAGGGGCAGGGGGAGATGGAGAGGAAGACGGCGGAAGGGAGAGCGGAGGGAGATGGACAAGGAGAAGAGGGACAAGAGGGGTGGGGGCAAGGAGAGCGGGTTGAGGCTCAAGGATGCGAGCTGTTCGCGCATGCGTCCGTCGACAGCCCGCGGCGCAGGGCGATGAACCGGTCCGGCCGTCCGCCTCGGCTAATTCGGACGAGCGGGCCCCTCAAGACGGCACCCTCAAGGCAGCGGCGAGCGCAGACACGCCACCGAGGACGCGCCGCTCGTGGCCGGGCACCTCTCGCGGGCGCCAGCACGGGCCTAGCGAGGCTTTGGAAGCGACCCGAGGGAGATCTCGTCCTGAGGGGGAACGCTACCGTCAACACGCATAACAAGGATGCGCGGCAATGGTGCAAGTGCATTGGAGGGCCATGTTGACGTTTTTCGAAAGAGGCCGGCCAGCCAAAATCGATGAGGATGGGACGGAAGGGCCAGGATGCAAGGTAGCCTTGGAAAGTTGCTCATCTTCACTATGCGGGTTGACTGTAGGGCGGGGGGGCCAGCTCTGGGGGGAAAACATCGAGCTGAATTCGGCGGCACATTGCCGCTAGATCGTGGTGATAGGCCCCGAGTAGCGAAACCCCACGCTCCTGGGCGGGGTGGGCTATCGGGCCCCTCTCGGTGATCCATGGGCCATTGGAAGCCGCTGCATCCGCCCCTGAGCATATCCCCCCCTAACGTTGCCCTGGGGTCCTCTGGGTGGAGCTTGTTCCAGGCGGAGAACAGAACCCCGATCTTGTCGGCGAGCTTCTCGGACCCCTGGTCCTCCTGGGGAGCACCCTTCTCAGCCCGGGCGCTGTCGGCGCTCTCGACGCCAGGACTGGCGGCGGCCTCGGCGCTCTCGGTGCTCTTGGCGCCCTCGGGGCCCTCGGCCTTCTTGGCGTCCTCGGCGCTCTCAGCCTTCTCGGCGCCCTCGGCGCTCTCGTCGCTCCCGGCGACCTCGGCGCCCTCGGCGCTCTCGTCGCTCCCGGCACTGTCGGCGCTGTCGGCGCTCTCGTCGCCACCGCCGGCCATCAGGGCGTCCCCCGCGATGAGGGCGCTCTCGGTCTTCTTGGCGCCCTCGGCGCTCTCGTCGCTCTCGTCGCCCTGAGCGCTCTCGTCGCCAGTGCTGCCGCTCTCGGCGACCTCGTCGCCGCGGGCGCCCTCGGAGCCGGCGCCTGCGCTCCCAGCGCCCTGGGTGTTCGCGTCGTCCTCGTCGTCCTCGCCGAGGTGAACGGGATCCTCGGGGCTCTCGGAGTTCTCGTCGCTCTGGACGCTCTCGTTGCCACCGCCGGCCATCAGGGCGTCTCCGGCGATCACGGCGCCCTCAGCGCCCTCGGCGCCCTCGTCGTCGGCGCTCTCGTTGGCGTCGCCGATCACGTACCTCCGCACCTTGACGAGCACAATGGGAGCGCCGTCGCTCCCTTGCCAGGCGCGGGTAATCTCCTCGGATCCATCTGAACCAAGGGATGGCCACTCCCCCCGCGGGGAGCCCCAGCCCCGAACGGGTCCCTCAGAACCCGCTCCCCCCTGCTCATATTCCTACGCCTCAGCCTCCTCCTACTCGTTTGCCTCCTCCTCCTCCTCCTCCTCCTCATCATCATCATCATCATCATCAGCATCATCATCAGCATCATCATCAGCATCATCATCATCGTCAGCAGCATCAGCAGCACCATCATCATGAGCATAATCATCAAGATCAGCAACGTCATCATCATCATCATCATCATCATCATCATCATCATCATCATCATCATCATCATCATCATCATCATCATCATCCTCATCCTCATCCTCATCCTCATCCTCATCCTCATCCTCATCATCGTCCTCATCCTCCTCCTCCTCATCATCAACATCAGCACCATCATCACCATCATCACCATCACCAACATAAGCAGCATCATCGTCATCACCATTAGCAGCAACAGCATCGTCATCAGTATCAGCACAATCAGCAGCATCATCAGCATTGTCACAATCATCATTATCATCATCATATTCATCATCATCAGCAGCATCATCATCTGAATCCTAATCATCATCATCATCATCATCATCATCATCATCATCATCATCATCATCATCAGCAGCATCAGCATCATCATCGTCGTCATCCTCATCATCATCAGCAGCAGCATCAGCATCAGCAGCATCAGCAGCATCAGCAGCAGCAGCATCAGCATCATCAGCATTATCTCCATCACCATCATCATCAGCATCATAATAATCATCACCTTCGTCATCAACATCAGCACAATCATCATCATCATCATCATCACCATCATCATGATCATCAGCATCATCATAACCATCGTCATCTGCATCATCATCAGCAGCTGCGGCATCAGCATCAGCATCAGCAGCATAATCATCATCACCATCACCATCACCATCACCATCATCATCGTCGTCTGGATCATCATCATTAGCATGATCATCATAATTGGGATGAGCATCATCATAGTAGCCAGCACCATCACATCATCATCAGCAGCAGCACCATCATGATCAGCATCATCATCATCATCATCATCACCATCATCGTCATCATCATCATCATCATCATCATCATCATCATCCGCATCGTCATCATCATCCGCAGCAGCAGCACCATCATCATCAAACCACCATCAGCATCATCAGCATCTGCATCAGCATCAGCATCAGCATCACAATCATCAGCATCAGCATCATCACCATCATCAAACACATCAGCATCAACATCACCATCATCATCTTCATCATTCGCATCATCATCATCATCCGTCCTCACCTTCTCCTCCTCTTCCTCCTCCTCCTCCCAGTCGTCCTCATCAGCATCAGTAGCATCAGCATCAGCATCAACATCACCGCCACCATCAGCAGCAGCATCATTATTATCCTCCTCTTCCCCACTCTGCCTCCTCCTCCTGCTCCTCCTTCACCTTCTTCTCCTCCTCCTCCTCCAACCAATTTTTCCCCCTCCTCCTCCACCTTCTCCCCCTCCTTCTCCTCCTCCTCATCATCATGTATGCAATGTCTTCGCGTGTGGCCCATCCTTGTACATGCGACTGGTGAAAGACTTCGTATTGTTGTGCCAAGGGACGGTGTTGACCTTCATGACCTGGCCCCCATTGTAAAGAAAGGGTAGGAGGAGGAGGAGGAAGGGGAGGAGGTGGAGGAGGACGAGGTGGAGGAAGAAGAGAAGAAGGAGAAGAAATAGAGCTAAAGGGTCGGACAAGGAACAGAAGGAGGAAAGACCTCGTCGCCAGGATGGATCACCAGGTCCGGATGGGCAGCATTCCACTGGGCCACCACGCCAGTGTCCTTCACCTTCTCGATGATGGGGGGGATGTGGTCGTCCTCCCAAGAAGTTGTTGTTTGTCGTCCTCCTCTCCCTCTCATCCCTCCTCCTCCTCCTGCTCGTCGACGTCATCATCAGGATTGCCATCGTCAGCATCATCATCATCATCATCGTCGTCAGCATCATCATCATCATCATCATCAGCATCAGCAGCAGCATCATTACCATCATCATCATCATCATCATCATCATCATCATCATCATCATCATCATCATGAGCAGCATCATCATCAGCAGCATCACCATTCCCATATCATCTTCATCATCATCATCAACCTCGTCGTCGTCATCATCCTTCTCGTCCTCGTCTTCCTCGTCGTCATCGCCGTCGACGTCATCACCACCACCACCACCACTATCATCATCTCCCTCCCTCTCCTCCTCCTCTTCCTCCTCCTCCTCCTCATTCTCCTCCCCCTCCTCCTCCTCCTCCTCCTCCTCCCTCCTCCTCCTCCTCCTCCTCCTCCCCACCCACCCACCCACCCCCCACCCACCCATCCGCCCACCCGTCACTTGTCCACAAGAGCCCAGAACCTCACCTGGAGCTCACGGTTTCAAAGCGACTCCCGGCGTGGCGCCGAGGGCGCCCGAAGAAGCCTCCAGGCTTGACCAGGGACGTGACGTCCCTGTGAGAGGACAAGGGGAGGAGGGGGAGGAGGAGGAGGAGGAGGAGGAGGAGGAGGGGAGGAGGAGGAGGAGGAGGAGGAGGGGGAGTAGGAGGACAAGGAGGAGAAGGAAGAGGAAGAGGAAGAGGAATACCAAATGGAAAAAAGAAGCGAGAAGGACGGACGGACCCAGATAGAAGAGCGCGCCGAGTTCGGGAGACGGATGGAGCATAGCGATGGAAAAAAAGGAGAGAAGCACAACTCTCAATCAGCAGAGACCGACGACGAGGGCTTACGACCCAGGGATACAAGAGACCCCATCTCGGCCAGCACCTGGCCGTCGGCGCAGAAATCACAAGTAATTGCTGCCAAAAGGGGCCTAGATAAGCCCGAGCCACACACACGCATCATCTGAGAATTTGAGAGGAGCAGGGGTGGCTATACGGAGACGCGGCACCCGCGGATGCAGGAGCTTGTCAAAGATGCGGTCTCGCTTATATCTACGGGAGGGGGTCCGCCCCAGCAGCTCGGGGCGACAAGCCCCAAACAGCTGTGACTGACTCCCCCCCTCGCAGGACGAGCCGCACCTACGGCATGCAGCTAAATTACCCGACAAAAAGATCTCGTGACCCCTCATACGAGAAATGGGGACATGGTCAGAGAGCTCCAGAGGCCCACCACCCCCAGGACCCGCGGGCGACGGGGGGGCCTTGGGACCGAGGGTGCACGGCCTCTTCGCGGGAGGCTCAACCTCCTGAGACAGCACACCGTCCTGGGTGAGACGCACCACCGTCTCGTCAAGCGACGGCGGCGAGTCGAGGTCGAAACGAACACGCGGGCGGACCGAGCGAGAGGGGGGCACGGCCCCGTCCAGGGCCGCTTCCTCCCCCTCCCCCTCTTCCTCCTCCCTCGGGCGAATTGGTGGACGCCTGTCGCCCGAGTCACTCAGCCTGACGCGCACGCATCTCAAGGGGAGATCGGACTCAGGCTCGCTCTCACGGGATCTCTTGCACCCCCCCACCCCCCCCCCCCCCCCACCACCCCCGCCCCGACTACCCGACGGCGACGACGGCGGCGGCAGCCCAGTAGCGCCAGCAGGCACGGGACGAGCCTGCGCGCGCACGGTGTCGCACATCATGCGGCTCAGTCTGCGCCTGCCTCTCTCAGAGCGGGCCGAGGCCAGACAGAGCGAGCACCTCCAGCGACCTCTGATCTCCACGGGCCGATGGCAAAGGGCAGGAGGAGGGGGAGGAGGACGGCGGCGGAGGCGAGGGGGCTTCAGATGCCTACGCCTCAGCGGCGTCTCGGTGCGGTCAGGGACGACCGTTCCAAGCGCCAAGGCCTCCTGGCACTGAGCAACCCAGCACGAGACCTGTCGGAGGAGGAGGAGGGAAGCAGCATGTCCGTTCTCAATATTTTCAGACAGCGCATGAGTCTCCATTCCTTTGCGCGCAGCCTGGTCAGCAAAGTCATTGCCAACCTTCTCAACTGACCAATCCGTCTGATGAGATTTAACCCACGAAAAAGACAGCACGTCCTCCTGCAGGCCGCCGTGATCATCTATCGCGCGCCAGATCTGGCGCCAAATATCAAGGTTCTGCCGCGAAACATCCAAGCACCATTCTCGGCCACGGAGGTTAATTCCCTCAATGGCAGGCAGATGATCGGACTTAATGTCGAGAGGGGCCCTACCAACCTGCAGCACTTTAAGAATCGCAAACAACTCGGCCCGAGGGACGCTTTGCTCGTGCCCAGGCAGAGGGCCAAACGCCTTACCTTTTAGCGAGGCCCCATCCATGACGGCAAAACCCCAGCCCGCACGGGCCGATTCGGGCCAAAAAGGGAGGACGCGGCCTGATCCATCCGTAAAAAACAGTGCCGGTGACATCTAGAGGGCCTAAGGCCCTAAGCTCATACCCCCAGCACTCGGACATACAAGGGGGTCGCAGCTCAGGAAGCCACGCCCTGGGAAAGAGACATCGTTGGAAGAAGGGGCATTGCGTCGGGGCGTGACGGGCCCGCTCCAAGTGAGGGGCCTCTAGGGCTTCGACGCGTGCCTCTTCGCTCTGAGGGCAACGATAAAATCGGTGGTGCAGACAACCTGGCACCGCTCCGCAGGCCTGACACTCCTGAAACAAAGAGTAGCCATGCTGCCACAGGCGTTGCTGCGACCACTGACCACCAATCATGGTGGATCGTAGGGCTGCCATGGCCAAAGGCGACAGCTTCCACTTAGCACGCTCCTTGGCCTCTGCAAAAAGGGCACGGATCGGCTCGACCCAGTAGCCATCGGGGGCTCGGGGGACGCGACGATCAGGATCCTCAGGCGCCTGCTCCTCCCGCTGCGCCCATTGACGCCAGCCATCCAGCTCGTAGTCCCGCAGCGCTAAGGTGTGCACCCAGGTCGGCGAGACCTCGGTCAGGTCGAGCGCTATGCCACGCCTCGTGCGCCATAGGAGTGCCGACGATGCTGTCCATCCAAGTCTGCGCAACTGCAGTGCCAGCGCACCCGCAGGGCCAGCCACCATCGTCCACGGCTCCTTGGCCAGCAACACTCTCGGCGTCTGGAGCTGCCAGGCGTCCTGAAGCACCTCTAGGGGGACCGAGCGAGCCGCCACCATGCGCGCCCAAGTGCGGACAGGGCCCGTCACGGCTATGCAATCAGGATGCTGCCTCCAGGAGGGCTCTAGCCGCGAAGCCACCCACGTCGAAGATGCAGCAGGCGTCTTGGCCCATCCTTCTCTCGCACGGGCCGCCATGCGCTTCGCTAAGTGCGGCGGCGCGCTGGTAACCTGCAGCCCGTACGTCATGCCAGGCCCTAGGGACGGAGAGGTGATCTGCCTGTACTCCTTCGTCCTGAGCCCTCGCAGGCGCCGAAAACGTGGCATGCGCGCCGTCACCTGACGCACTCGCTTCCCGACTACACCGTAGCGCAGCCTCCTGCCACTAGCAACTTCCATGCCCAGCACCTTGAGAACGGATACGGGTTTGAAGCCATGCTTCTGGACACGACGGGCTACTGCGGTGGCTAGCGGCATGTCCGTGGCCATCACCTTGGCCTTGCTCACTGCGATCGGCCGCTCCAGTTCTCTCAGCGCGTCCGCCAGCAGCGCCAGCGTCTCCGCCGAGGCCCGAATGATGTCCGCCCACTTCATGACAATCTGCAGCGCGAGGTCATCCGCATAGACGTCTAGACTACGAGGCATCCGAGCGGTCTCCTCCATGAACGCATCCAGAGGCTCGGGGAACAGCAGCTGCAAGAAAAACATCGCGTCCGTGCAGCCAGGCAGCACGCCTTGAAGCACCGTCGCGGCGTATGAAAAAGGTCCCTGCCCACGACAGCCGACGAGGTGCGCGGTACATGAGCAGAGCCATGCGAAGTATCGTCGTCGGGAAACCGTAGCGTTGAGCAGCCACAACGAGCTTACGCCACGGAACTCGATCGAAACACTTGTTGATATCCACCAGTGCCGTAACCACTGCTAGATCAGGGTGACGGGCAGCTGCCTCCAGCCGCACCAGCAGCCTCGCCGCCACATCGACTGTGCACTTCTTCACCCCCATGGCGAAGTAGGGGCGCGCGCGATCCCGTGCCCAACGCCGCACGTACACCAGCCTCAGCTTGGTCCACACACGGTAGACCGAGGGCAGGAGTGCTATCGGGCGAAAGCCTCCGCCCTCCTTGCTGAGGAGTACAATGTGCGCCATCATCATCTGAGTAGGCCATCGATGCCACGTCTCGATGGCCCACATCAGGTAAACAAGAAACGCCAAAGCCTCGTCACCCAGTAGCGAGATCGCCCGGGGAGACAACTTATCGGGGCCAGTACCCGTGCGCCAAGGAAAACTCCGCGCAGCGCGCCTGACGTCAGCCACCTTCGGCACCGAAAGGTGGTCAGATGGCAAATCTCGAAGCAGTGCAGCCAATTCCCCTCCTTCGGAATCGGCTGGCAAAAGATGTCCAACATCGAACTCAGGGTCCTCCCCTCCAGGACCTGGCGCCGACGATCCCAGGGCCGTGCCCTTCCAGATGCCGCACCACATGTCCATCTGCCCGTCCGCGACCTCCTGGGCCTGTGACCGCGAGCGAGGTGAGGGTTGGACCGACGTACTGGCGTCCAACTCTGAGTGAGTCCAGCCCCGCAACTTCGTGTAGTTGAAGACCTGCGTAGGCGAGATGATCAGCGCGTCTCTGGCCCACTTGTAGAAAGCCTTGCGCCTGGCATCCGCCGCTGCCCTCTCCAGCAACTCGGCATGAGCATGCGCGGCTTCTGACACCGCCAAGAAGAGTGAGGAAGAGTGTGCGCAGCAATCTTTTGAGCCGATAGCTACGGACCTGGGGCAAGCAGCAGCCGCATCGAGTAGGAACGGTAAGCCCAGAAACAGCTCGAGGCCGCGCTCGGAGCACACATCACGAATGCGTCCCGCTTTCAAAACCCGATGGAGCCTCTGAGCCCGAAGTCCGATCCCCTGGGGCCTATCCAAGGCCACGGCATAATCAGCTATGGCTTGACCGATGCCCCTAAACAGCCTAGCCCCAGGCACACTAGCAGGCTTCCCGTGGGTGGGCAGTCCTCCTACGGGTCGCCAAACATATCTAGGGCCCTCAGACCTCCCCAGGTATCGGTCCTTGTCATTCACTTGATAAATATGACACAAATCAGCTTCCACCATGGAACAGAAGGAACCGTACAACGCATCCAACCTCGGAGCAAGCTGACTCGTGTCGGAGGGCACCCCAAGAGCTGAATCCTCAGCGAGGACGTCCAAATACGGCTGGGGCTCCGGGGGCCCTCCAAAGGGTGACATCCCGCAAACTCGGGAGGGAGCCTGGGGAAGGCCTTGGGACCCTGAAAGCAAAGCTGTTGCATCTCCCGAGGATGGGCCGAGAGATCGAGCAGGATGGGGAAGTGGGGTCTGGCCGCCCAGTCTGAGGCACAGCGTGGGTCCAGACAGGCCTTCGCGAGAGAAGGACTGGCAAGCCAGAAATCGACAGCACGATAATTCCCCTGCGGCGAGCGACAGGTGCCCCCACCGCTAGGCACCACACACTGGGCAGGGAAGATGTCGAGGAGGCCTGTAACCTCGAGCTCACTTGCCGTGGTGTTCCAGTCTCCTGCAATGAGAAACGGACTGGCATAGTACCTGAGCACCTCCCCAAGGCGCGTCAGCTTCTGAAAATTGCGCGGCAGGTACGCATGATCTGGCACGGATTCTACATACATAGAGCCGAGAATCACTCCCCCAGGTAATCCAAGATCTGCATGAACTGCCACACTCCACGCTGGTACAACTTCAAAACTCTTCGCGCCGTCGGGCATCTCCAACAGACGTGTCGATATGAAATCACGGATGAACAAACCTACTCCCGCACTAGGCTTGCCCGACTCCAACCGACGGCACGCCGAAATATATGCCTTCCAGCCATGACGCGAAGCCCAACTCGTAGCTGCCTGCAGATCCCCAGCATCCACACGCAACTCCTGGGCCGCCACGACCATGACGCCCTCGGTGCTCTGCTCCAGGAACTGCCGACAGCTGAGCCAGCAGGAGCCGTTGAAGGAGGCGAGCGTGATCTGCTTCTTGCGCGCCCTCCTCGGCGCACGATGCCTAGCCCACCTGCACGAGCTCAGGCTGCGGTGGGCCTGCACTGGCCGCGGCTGCCCCGAGTCCTCCCCCAGGGACGCTAGGGGGATGGCGAAACGCCGTGGCCTCCGCAGGGGGCGCACTGCCCATGACCACGTCGTTCCTCGCGGGCGGCAGAGCCGCGGCGGGGGCCCCCGACGCCTGCGGCGCTGCCTCAGCTGTGGCCGCAGGACCACCCAGCTGTGGCGCCTGAGCAGCCTGATTGCTGCTCGGCGGAGGAGGGCCCGATGCCGCGGCGTCTGCTGCCAATGCCGCGGCCCGCGATGCTGGGAAGGCCACCCCCATGGCCTGCACCTCGGCGTGGATCGACTGCAGCAGCTGCAAGCCCTGGCCCGACGCGACCGAGCCCTCCGCGTTGTTGATGAGCGTCTGGAGGTTGAGCAGGCTGGTCGCGACCGCCGCGAGGTCCATGCCCTGGTGCCCCGCCGTGGCGATGGTGACGGCCTTCCGCGCCTCCATGACCTCCTTCTGCAGCCCCTCCACGTCGTCCGCCAAGGCGCTGGCCTTCTGGCGCAAGGTAGCGACGCGCTCCTCCGCCTCAGCCAGCTGCTTGTCCACGTCCTGTTTCTCCTTCGACTTGATGGCGAGGCGATCCTGGGCGCTACGCAGCACATCCTCTGGCGGGCGCGTCTTCCGCTCCTCAGCCTCCAGGAACTGGAGCTCGCGAGCGGCTGCGACGACCAGCGGGTGATCGTCGTCGTACTTGAGGCGACGGAGGGCGGCGAGCCCCTTGCGGGCTCGAGCCACGGCCTGGGACTCCTCCAGCTGGTCCCTGGCCCGCTCCGCCCGCTCTCCATCATCAGTGTCACGATCCCGACGGCGACGGCGATCAGCCGCAGCAGAGGCCGACCGTGTGCGTGCAGGTGCATCCGACCCCGCAGGCTTGCGCCCCTGCCAGTCACGCCCACACTTCCAGCACGTCGACCTCGATGCGTAGTTGGTCTTGAAGCCGCAGAGCTTCGTCGCGACGCACGCCCACTGGCGATCCGCAGCTCCGTCAGCTCATCCTGCGGCCGTTGCCCACGGGCGGGGGGTCCCCGCAGCGCCTGGCGCCATTGCGCCACGGTCGCCACCGCCCGTAGTGTGTTCGCCGTGATGCCCAGCGAGGACGGCGCGGGCGCGTGCCTGCCTCAAGAGCAGGCGGGCGGCCGCGCGCGCTCGGCGAGCCCGCCGATGCCACGCGGGCGATCGCGCCCGAGCGGTCTCTGGCGGGGGAAACGGAATGTTCACCGACGCCCGCTGAACACGGGTGACGGCTGGGGGCTGAGGCAAGCGGGCCGACCCCTCGGCCACGGCCAGAGCCACCTAAAGAAGCGAGAAGGAGTGGGGGGAATTGAAAAAGAAAGGCAGAGAGGATGGAAGGAAGGGCAGAGAAGGAGAGACGAAGGAGAAGCAGCAGAGGCACAGAAGGAAGAGGACGAAGGGAGGAAGAGAAGGACGAGAGAGAGGGAGAGGAGGAGGAGGAGGAAGAGGAGGAGGAGGAGGAGGAAGAGAGAAGGAAGAGCTGAGGGGGGGGCAGGTCGAGGAGGATGAGGACGACGGGAGCAGCAAACGGGACGGGAGGGGGGCCAATCCTCCACGAGGAGCTGCCAGCCCAAGACCTTCACGAGGGGGTCCTTGGACTTCGGCACGACGAGGGGCGCCACGAACTCCCGCATCTTCCCGCCCCCCTCCGACCGCCGCACCCGGCGCTCCACGACCTGCCGCGGCCGTGGCGTTTCCCTCTCACCTCCCACCTCCTCTCCTCCTGTCCTCCTCGTCTTGTTCCTCCTCCTCCGCCTCCTCCTCCTCTTCCTCCTGCTGCTGCTGCTCCTCCTACTTCTCCTCCTCCTCCTCCTCCTGCTGCTGCTGGTCCTCCTCTTCCTCCTCCAGAAATACAAAATATGAATACTTCTCTCCTCTCTCCCCTGATGACGCCCGGAAGATATTCGGCCCCCCTCCGCGTACTGTTTTTCTGTCGCACAGGACGTCCGGGAGTCAGGTTTTCGCCTAGGTTAATTTCCCAAAATGCTGTTCCCGCTGCAGCGCTGACCTCATTTTCGGGCTTCCGCTCGTTCCGAATCGTGCTCCCGCTGCAGCGCTGGCCTCATTTCCGCACTTCCGCTCGCTCCGAATCGTGCTCCCGCTGCAGCGCTGGCCTCATATCCGCGCTTGCGCTCATTCCGAATCGTACTCCCGCTGCAGCACTGGCGTCATTATTTCCAGTGCCATGCCACGGCATGCAATGCAATGCTATGTGGTGTTCCGCTGACATGCCTCCAGCTGACATGCTAGGATATGCAATGCTTGACTACGCAATGCCACGCCATGCTATGCCATGCTACGCTTTGATCTTCAACACCATGCTATGCCATGTTTTGTTCTGTGCCGCTGAGCGAAGCCATTATTTGGGCTGCAATGGTTTGTGATGCGATTCTCCACTACGCAACGCCACGCCATGCTATGACATAGTAGGCTCTGCCATGCTCTTCTGCGCCCTGCTACGCCGTGCTCTACGATGCCTCGCGCACACCCTCGGGATCATTGCCCTGCTCGACACCTGACTGCGCGAATAGAGTGGAAATGTACGCCTTGGTAAAGAATGGGAGGGAGGGGTAGGACGTCAGATATGACATCGCTTGTCCTCCTCCTCCTCCTCCTCCTTCTCCACATCCTCCTCCTCCTCCTCGTCCTCCTCCTCCGCCTCCTCTCCCGCTCCTCCTCCTCCTCCTCCTCCACATCCTCCTCCAGGTGGCACGAGCTTTTCGGATTTCATCTCCTCCAGCCACCGAGAGGAGCCCTCACCCCGAAAGCCAGCGCGGGGCCCTCCCCTCTCTCCAGAGGATGGGGCCTGGCGGCGGGCCGTGAGCCGCCCATGCCGCTCGCCGCCGCAGGTCTCCTTCGGGTTGTCGCATACAACCCGTGCGCGGCCATCTCGTCGTCTCGCCTTCTTGACATTGCAGAGGAGTTAGGCAGGCGGGATGTCGTGGGGCTTATCGGCACGCAGAAGAAGAGCGGAGGCGAGCAGTGGGAGGAGAAGAAGGAGGTGGGGGAGTATACAGTCGTGGAGGCAGGATACCTCAAGGGCAAGCTAGTGAGCACGAGTTGTGGGGTCGCGCTGATGTTGAGACGAGAACGTTTTCCCCTGCACTGCGTGAAGCACGTGTTCACAGCGCCCAAACAGATATGGGGGCGCGTCCACGGGGTGTTGTGCGACCGGGGAGGAGTAAGGTATGGGTTTGTGGTTATGTACTACCCGCCCAAACAGACCACCAACCAAGCCAAGCCAGCCTACCTTAAGACGATCCAGGTGATGAACGAATGGTTGAGCAATGTAATGTCGTTCCTCATGACAAGGAAGGCAGTACCCATCATCATGACCGATCTGAATGGGGCACTGCCGTACACGGGTGACGACCACGTCTCGGGCGTGCACGGCAAAGGACACTTAACCCCAAGCAGCGCTGCACTCCGACCTCTCCTTGAGGGATGGGGCATGTGCAGCATCGGCACTCACTGGGACCTCCCCCCCACGTTCGTAGGCAGCAACGGGCAGTCGCACATTGACCACATCCTCACAACACGAGACCTCCTTCAGGCCACGGAGCGGGTGATGGTAATGAGGAGGTCTGCTCGTCGACTCCAGCTGCATCGCGGGCACGAGGATAGGGACCACAGACCTGTATGCGCGAGCTTCGTCCTGCAGTGGCCCGCCCTCCCTGGTAGAGAACAGCAGCGTGCTCCTCGTGCGAACCGTGAAGCTCTTTATCAATGCCTGCAGGTAGGGTACAAGAGACGGGAGGTCCTCTCTCGGATGGAAGAGCTGGCGGAAGTAAATGCCGATGAGTTTGATGCAGCCAAGGCCAGGGAGGACATTGATGAGATGAACACGCTGTTTATTACCACCCTGAACACCGCTGTCTCCGACGTCCTGCGCGACAGCCCGCTGTACACAGAAGATCGTAAGGAACACACCAGAGAGCTTCGAACACTACTGGCACAGAGGAGGAGGTACAAGGAGGAGCACGATGAGCACAACACCGAGAGCACGAGCGAGCGCATCAGGCACATCAGCAAGCACTTACGGCACACTGCCAAAGAATACTGGGATGCTATCCGTGCTCGAAGATGTGCCGAGATGAAGCAAGCCCTCAAAGAGCAGAACGGGTACATGGTCCAGAAATTAGCTCGGCTTATCGCTGGAAAGAGAAGGGGGCCCCGACAAAGGAAGTTCGCCGTCGTCCCTGGATCCACAGCGTCAGCAAAGGCGTGGGCGCAGAGGTTGAAGCTTGAGCCCGAACATGGAGGCTGCAGTGCGATCCCTTACACCATAGAGGAGACGAGGAGGGACATGCAGGAGGAGGTGCGGGAGAGGGTGGAGGACAGCGAGGCCGTGTATCGTGCTGCGGAGGATTGGAGGGAGATGGCGGTTGCAGTCTGGAAACTAAAGTTTTGGAGGGCTTGGCCGTCGTGGAGCACACCTCCCGAGTGCTTGCGAATAGTGTTCCACCCCCGCAAAGTGAATGAGAGACGACCGCAGGCTGCAGTGGGTGTTGGATTTCATCAGGAGCTGCCCAGGATAGTCCGCACGCGTGGTATGCTGCAGGCAATACTGGGCACGTGCAGGCGAGTTCAGCGGTATCCCGTCCACTGGCACTGTGCCCAGGCTGCCCGTATCCCCAAACCCAATCGGAAACTGGAGTGTGACGGGGAGAGGCTGATCATGATGATGTGCACCCTGGGTCGGACCTACAACGCGGCCATGCTCAAACGTAAGAAGCCCCCATGGATTGCACCCGAATGGCTGTATGGAGGGATACATGGGAGGAGGAGGGAGGCGGCCATGGGGGTTCAGCTCGTGTCGTCGTATCGCCTGCAAGCTGGAGGAGTGTCTCATCTTCTCAGGTGTCACGACGCTGTCAACGCTTTCTACAGCCTCCATCAGGACAAGGTTCTAGAGGCCGCGGAGAGTTGTTATGACCCCCAGGACCTCCAGTTCATAGAAGATCGGGTGCGAAAAAACTTGGTGCACATCTCTGATGAGACGGGAAGTTTCTGGATGAAAGCTCGACGGGGCGTCTTCCCAGGGGACACCGGTGCCACCCGATTGTTCAACAGGACGTACCTCCCCCCCTTTGCGAAGTACGCCGACGCTGCCATCGCTCACCAGTGGCACATCGTCTTAGAAGCGGGTCTTCCTTGGAATCACAGCGAGAAGACTCAGATAGGACTCACAGGGTTCGTCGACGACATAGGTAGCAAGGTGTTGGAGGCGGGAGAGGGGACGATGCAGGAGCAGATTGAGCGCGGGGGGGCCCTCGAGAACGAAGCTGTCGACCGTGGGCTCGCGGAGATCGGAGCGAGTCAGAATCTAGAGAAGGAGGAGAATGTGTGCTATTTTGCAGGGTGGGGATCTTACACGGCTACGAGGGCACTAGCAAGGCAAGAAACGGCACTTGATGGGAGAGTTGTACATCACGTGCGCTACTTAGGTGGGCTTCAAGCGTCCACATTTTCACCGTTGCCAGAGTTGCAGAAGCGGTTATCTGCCATCAAGTCCAGCTTCCACAGTATGGGGGGATTCTGGTACAGTGACGCGCCCTTCGGCGTAAAGAGAAACGTAGTGAAAGGCTTGTTGGTAAACGCTGCCCTGTCTGGCCTCGAGGTGTGCGTACATGGACGGGGGCCTCTGCAAGAGCGGGACCTCCAGCATCACCAATCATACATTTTGGTTAAGTGTAGGGCCATACTACAAGGCACAGCGCGCATGAACGAGAGCGACACGCACGTTATCGTAGATACTAACACGCAGATCCTTCAGAAATTTCGAATGGGCAGTCTTTACCTTGAATTACGAATAAGAAGACTTAAATGGATGCAAGTATTGGTTGCCAACAAAGATGAGCACGTGCAGTTTCTTAGCGCGGTGTTTGGAAGTATGGTATGTGACGGGGAGGTCTTTAGCGATGGCATGGTCTCCGACAAAGCTAACCCTTGGGCCCAGCAGGCCCAGCAAGACATACTATCACTACGGGAACTCGAGGAAGGGCAGACGATGCTAGATAACCAGACCATCTTTAGTATACTATTCGAGGACCCCACGGACTTCGTCAAGATAGATGTCACCCAGCTTAGATCGATCTTCTACATCACAGATGAGGAGGAGAGGATCAGGAAAGAGGTGAACAGGACGGAGGGGGAGTACGTATGCCAGGAGGTGTGGGACGATGGCACGGTATGTCGGACGTGTTGGCCTAGCCGAAAACAGCTGCTGGCGCACATGGCCAACTCAAAAGGGGGCTCTCATGGGAAACTCCACATAGGAAGGGTTCTCACGATCACGAACGCCTGCCCGATCTGCAAGAGCGTGTTCAGAGATCGTGCCAGTGCCGTCCATCACGTTGCTGCGAGTATGAGGCGCAACTATTGCCCTATGAATCGAGGACGGTACGAGGCCACCATCATAGAGCCCAAAAGCCTCGAGTGCCCAGTTTGCTTCGAGGAGCAGCCCTCCATCGCCGTCTTTCTCGAGCACGCTGAGGCGCACATTCGGCAGCATCTCCTCCCCTCGTTTCAGATTCGCGAGGCGCTCGGCACCGCACACAGCAACCCTGAGTGGAGGGGTACGAGACTCAGCAGGGGCGATGTCGACGGGAGGCGCCGCATCGTCTGCGGTGCAAGTCGCCCACCAGCCCGCGTCGTGGCTCCTCAGGAAGGACAG